AAGTCATCAGTGGTTTAGGCGGGTGACGGTAATTGAAGGAGCTAAAAGCAATCCAAAAATTTATCTGGTATCGCACCCACACGGGCAATGAAAAGGGGGCTAAATGAGGTCAGACATGATTGGTCATTAACTCATTCAGTACCAGCCAATTCTAGATCAAGTCTGAAAAGACGTTTAAAAACGTCTTTGGGAGTGAATGAGTTAACATTTTACTAGACACAAGCGCAATTGCAAGTATTTGATCCATAAAGCCCCTCTCAATCGCTTTATTGAAAGAAAACTAAATACTGTCAAATAACGCTAACATCAGAAAACTATTCAACAGCCAAAAGCGATATTTTCTTCTGAAACCAAGATGTTGCCATTATAGCCTTAAATTGCCGCTTTACCGTCTCCTGGGCCACTTTGACTGATTCCTCCAGGCCGTAGACTCTGCCCTTCACCAAGAAAATGCCAGCCGACCAGATGGCGCAGTCTTCGTGGAGCCAGTACTCACGGGGCTCCATGGGCAGCACAGGTGGGCTGTACCAATCCTCGACATCAGTTGGCCACATTTCTGAACAGGCGCGTTTTGCTGCAGGGCTGCCGCTGTTGTCGGCGGCCCTCTGGCGGCTCGGCGAGAGGCCCTTTTGCCACCACTGATTCGCCGGCCTGTGACTCCAGGACGAGGGCGGAACAGAGCGTTTCCTCGCCCCGCCCCCGACACTAAAGGACGAAGAATCGGAATCGCTGTCGTCCTCCTTGTCACCTTTCGGGCCGGACGTAGGTGTTGATGTTTTGGGGTTCGACACCCGGTATCCTTTGGGGTAGTAAGGACCGTGGAGATCCCCCAAGTCCATGGCATTGGCAGGGAGCCCGCAGAGGCAACAGATGAGGGAGCCCTGATGCTGACCCTGAGTGGACGCCCGGCCCAGCAGGAGACAAGAACTGTTGGGTACGGTTCCGGAAATAAAGCTACTGTGGTGATCCTGTAGCTCTCTCTGGCCCTTTTTGTGCTGCGTCCTGACCTCTTCTGGGTAATTCACGACAGTACATAGTGATGATGATGACTGCTGGTGATGCACGCGGATGAAGGGGGAGAAATTCTCACACCTTAAGTGCTTTTTTTCCTCCCTGTAGTGAACATACCTCAATTTGATCTCGGGCTCCTTGGGAGCAAAGATGGAAGAAAATGGTCTCGGTTCGTACTTCTTCTGTCGCCTCTTTGGAGCCCGAGACACTTTGGTCTTTGCCGCGGATGATTTTTGCGGACCTTTCGCTGAACGTGGGCTTTTCTTTGGAGATTCTTTCGTTGCTGGTGGGGGACATCTTGCTTGATTTTTTTCCAATGAGGAATCGGAGTGCACGCAAAGTTCTGGCTCGTTTTTTGAGTTTTTAAACAATGGAGTTGATGCTGAACAGAGTCTCCTCTTTGAACTCACAGGACTCCTCTGTGGCACATGTCCAGGGTAGGGGACATCCTCTGGAATACTGTTTGTAAACTTTGGGCTTTTTGGTTTGTTAGAATTATTAACACAATTAGAGGTAGTATTTTTGTATTCATGTGTTATAATGCTATTGGCTTTGCCTTTTTTAGGCTGGGTAACTGCTTTTTGTTTCGCTTTCACTCTGCTTCTCCTTTGTCCATCAGACATAGTGTCATTCCTCTTTGGATTTGTTGCATAAGAATCCCGAGTTTTGGAAGCATTCACGTTAGTGTTAACAAATCCGGATATTTTATAACTCCTTGAACTTATATTCATAACCAGTGATTCTAAGCGCACCCCTCTATTTGAACGTAAAGGCAACTTCCTTTCATTTACAGTTCTCTGGAGCGCGCTGACGTTGCCGTTCATGTGAGGAGTGAGTGTTTTGGGTTTCTCCTTTGAAATTCCTGACAAACAAACATCCTCAGTCAAGTCAACAAAAGGCATCAGCTCTGGCTTCCTTATGTGGACAGGCTGTCTGTTTTCATCGCTTGAATCGAAACTTGTGGCAGTGTTGCCAATGCCAGACCTGAGCTGAATGGCCCCTTCTGTGACTGAATCATCCCATGCAACCTCTGCTTGAAGAGAGTTATCCCCGCTTGGTGAGCAGGAGGCCTGGGTCTGCATGAACACATCCTCGACATCACCCAATGAGGTAGCAGAGGGAGAAACGGGTTCTTCCAGAAGGCCTCTACAGTTCCTGGGGAGTGAGCGCAGCTTTACAACCGCCACTTTGTTATGGACCACCAATGGTTCGTCTTTTTTAGAAACATATAGCAGCGTCTCGGAGTTTCCCTTGCTCTCATTGTTCCTTAGGACAGTCGCCTCTGGTGACGATTCAGAAACCACACCTAAACTTGACCAGCTGTCATCTTGTCCATTTTCCAACCTTTCACTCGTTTCCGGCCTCCCAGGAATGCCGTGTTCCTCTCCGAGAGTCGTGCTCGAACTTACTCCCCCATTTAATTCACAAAGCTCCTGTGGTAAACAAAGTCCATCAAACTCTGGAGCCTTGGTGGCGAGGTCGACTGGCGTGTCAGTATGTTCCAAGTAATGCTGGTTCAGTGTATAGGCGGTCTCCCCAAACCCTTTCTCAGCCTCACAGGAAGGGAGGAGGGAGAACTTGCTGATAGGCGGCAAAACAGTTAAAGGCTGAGCTGCCGAGTAAATGTGAGACCTGCTCACATAGGATAGGGTCACGGTGGTGTGGGACAAGGCATTGTCTGGTTGAATTTGATCCACTGATTGGTGTGAGGCATTCGAGGAGGTGGTTTCTGAGGAGGGTAATCCAGAGTTTTGGTGCCAGTCTGGGCTGTGGACCAGGTGCTGGACATCACAGGACTTGACATTCAGGCTGCCTTTCCTGGTCAGGTCAACCACGCCAGGGATGCTTGAGGTGGAGAGGTCCTGAGGTTGAAGCTCGTCCAAGCTCCCTGGTGGTTGCTCCATAGCAGCTGCAACACAAAGTTGTGTTCTCAAATGAACTTTTTCAATTCAATTTCAAATATCGAAGTGTTTTATTTAAATTATTTTCAACAAGCTGAGTCACGAAAGCACACCCTTTCTTCCGATAAACTTGGCAGTAACCTTTACACATCTGAACACAACAGCTACTTTTCTGAGTCTACACGTATCATGGAACTCTTAAATCTTTACCTAAAGTCCGTAGAATGTTTCCATTCATACTTCAAACGACCTATGTTCCGTTAAAGAGAGAAATTAGTCACAAACGTTACGCCGACACAGTAAATGACGCGTCAGGGAATAACGTTCACGTTAAATAAATACATTTTTAAAAACACGATATAGCCAAAAGTATGCGTTTTACATTTTCTTCTTGAACGTCACCGATGGTTACAAGAATCTACTCAGGATCAAATGATTATTTTCTTGAAAGCAACTGACAACTTACCAACAGCGTTGACAGGTCAGGTATGCCAACTCGAAGGCTACAGTTTAGCCACCGCTAACGCTAGCAAGCTAGGCCCGGCTATGATGAACTACGACTACTAATAGTCAATTTTCATTCCTTTGAAATAAGGGCAGAAAACAGCGATGTTTACATCAGTGCTTTGGAAGTGCGAGGGATTTACAGCGACCATTAATCATTTCAGCGACATGTGCCTAGACCAGAGCTTTAATATTTTTCTAGAATGCCAACTTTTATTTCTAAACCGTCCAACGTGAAGTCACTGTGCTTGGTAACTTAAGTTCTAAGGAGAACGACAAAAGCTGTTCAATGTTTGGCTCATTCGGCAGGAGTTATTGTTTAATACTTAGCCCGAATTAGAAAGTGCATGTAAATGTATATGAACTCGTGAAATTGTACTTCTAGGGGATATACAAACCCAACGACGCGCGTAATTTGTGAAGTTGCAAGTTAATTTCATTGAATTTGGCAGCGTGTTATATAGAGCAGTGCGCTTATCGGGGCAAGGCCCGACTGGGTGAAACAAAGACGGAGCGGAGGTAATACGCTGAACTGAGGAAGCTGCTCAAACTTACCCGTGAGGGAGCGATCGTCGTGTTTCAAACGTCCAGCTGTAAAACTCTTCCACCCTTCATCTCATTCAAGACCCCATCAATTTTGACAAAATTACTAAATGCTCTTAATTAAAAATTAAGACCATAGACTTTCTTGAAACGTTTGATTACCGCAGAGTCAAGTTGTCTCATACATCTTCAATTTCCTGATGCACCCTCCACAATAAAAGATTAGCTGCACTTTTCTGCAGAAACCAACACACTGGGAAGGATCCTGATATATTATAATGCGCACCGCATCCAGATATTTTATTGTATTGTAGTAACGTAACTCAGTACGATAAAGAAGTGCATTTTGTGTTAAAGTCTGTTGTTTGTGGTTCGGTTTTTATTTGATTACGGCTGTTTTACAATTCCTGAAAAATCGATACACCGAAGCAGTGGTCAGACTAGAGGTACGAGATTAATTGTCTAATCGTTTGGATAACTTTAAAATTGTCCAAATCCTTGAAATTTCAGCTTCTCAACAGTAAATACGATCAGATTTCTGTAGTCCTCCATCAAAGCAGGCTGACAATATTTGCGTTGATCCAAAATAAAACATTTTCTTTTTTCTGACGTTACAGACCAAACCAGTCACTGGATCATAATTATGTATTTTCCACACTATCAATTCGAAACAATGGCATGCTTTGAATAAAGTGATGCAAATTAAAACATCCATTTCAAAACAATCACATTGATTAATAAACAAAATATCAACTCTTGAGTGTTCAGCTCATACCCATTCATGTGTCTCTCAATCTTTTGTATGTGCTTTATGGCAAATATTTGTCAGGAGATTTTCTCATAAAACATGAACTATTGGATATGCTTGTCAAAGTCAAAGCACCGCTAACCCAAAGTGTGTGACAATAGCCTATCATATTATAATATTCGACCCGGTTCGCATTTGAATCAAAACGTTGGACAAGGAAAAAGAATGATATATATATATATATATATATATATATATATATATATATAAAGGTTAACTACACAACAGTCACAAAGGGTGCAAAAATATTTATTGCTAATAAACCTGTAATCAGTTGGTGAATATGTGTATTTGGTTTATATTTACAAAAATTAGAGTACAGAGGAAGTGGAATGTGAAAGAAAAATCCCAACCATTTAAATAAATACAGACTGTCACTGAACAAAACTACAAACACAACCAAACTCTATAAACAGCTGGAACAATGATTGCAGTGAGAGAGAGAAAAAAAAAACTATATAAAATTTAATACATATAAATTATAGTCAGAGAACCTCATCCATGTGCATTCAGCTGCAGTCTTTCCATGGGGATCAATCCAAGGATGGCAGAGAACATCTTGATGTTATTTTGAAGTCAGGCGATGGAGCAACACGGTAGTTTGCCGTTTTGAGAATGCAAATCTGTACTTCTCTTCCTACTTCCATCTGTTCTGGAATGCCGACAGAGCAACCTGAACGCAAGAGCCATCCTATGTTTAACGCATGTATTAGTCGCCCAAAAAAAAAAAAAAACGCTGGGCCACTTGGACGTCACATTCTTGGCTCGCAACAGTCTAGGAGTTAAAACAGTAGCTTACACAGTCATAGTTTTAGTGTACGCGTGGTAGATGCTCAATTAAAAACAATATTTACAGTAAGACAATAACAGGAAGAAAAAAAAATGTCACAGTTAAGTGAAGTGCATGGAATGCAAATTCTAAACATGAAATCCGAACTTCATACCATGTGTCCTTTAATAATAAATGTTTGTTTTGTGACCAGTGTGTGTAGTGTTACAAGACAAGCCGTTACAGAGCTAAAATAGTGGACTTTTAAGCATGCAGCAAGGTACGGGAGGGAGGTAACAAGTCACATTCAGAACTCCTTAGTGTCCTTATTTTCAAACAGGTGGAGTCGTTGCTCAGGTGTCAGTCCTTCCTTTAGACTCTGTTGGGATTGAAAGAAAAGCAGATGTTACGAATGAATATATGAAGTCTTTCGAGACGTGCATTTCTGCAAAGCTCTTTGCCAGGTTAGTGTAAAGATTTCCCCGTGAAGTCCAGTTGAGCATAAGTTAGAGCTTGTACAGTTTGTAATTGGACCAAAATCCTTGGAGGAACCTCGGCCTCCAAAGTTATTGAACCTCGGCTCACAATCAATGCAGTAGTGCGCATGTTTTTTTTGTTTTTTTTTCCGCCCCAAAATTGTCATCTAATCATTCCTTCACAGGCCAGGCACTGCACTTTATATAAGGAAAACCCAACTAGTCCCGAGGAGGAGGTTAAAGCTTTTACTGCAATCTACTACCCAAGCCACATCAAATTGTAGCTCGGTAAGTCAAAACGCTGGTTGATCTGCCTCTTTGCTGCCAACATGGTGAATGAACAAAACCAAACTAGCTAGTGACACTGAAAGCAAGTCATTCACAAAATGCACATCTGCTCAGGCACGGGTGTCAAACCCAAGGCCCGGGGGCCAAATCCGACCCACCAGGTCATTTTATGTGGCCAGAGAAAGCAAATCATGTGTGTCAACTTGCTAAAATCTGTACCAAAATGTCAAATTGTCATGTGTAATAAATAACGTTGAGATTTGACAATAATTGTGTGATCCTGTTTACACTCACTTGAACAATAATCGAACAAACTATTATAATTAACTTGACCGATTTCAAAATTAGTAATCTATGAATTTGTTGTGTACAAGTAATAATTTTGTCGTTTCACTGTCATAACGGCCCTCCGAGGCAAGACGTAACTCCAAATTGGCCCGCGACTAAAATGCGTTTGACACCCTTGCCAAGGTGTCATGACACAACAGTTTCTCATCCTCATTGTCGAGACACAAACACACATTCAGTCCTCCGCAACAGTGTCCTTCACCACCATGCATCAGTGCAGTGATTATTTGTGCAGTGGTGACTCAGATCTGTCTTGGTGCTTTGACAGTGGACGACGAGAGGATTTACTCAAAATGCACGGCGTACCTAAAGGAGAGGGGAGGGAGGCCTACGCGTCCTCGGCAACACTAACTGTCCCAGGGCATGTCACGACTCACAGACTGGGGACAGAAGGGGGAAAACAGACCAGTGAATGTGCATTAGACTGCTTTGAAGTCAAACCGGGCACCGCACGTTTTTAATGGGAGTTGCACAAACAAGAGAGATGGTTAGAGCAGGGGTCCCCAACCGCCGGCCCGCCGGTCATTTGGTGCCGGGCCGCACAGAAAGAATAAATAACTTATATTCCTTCCTTTTTATTCATTTCGGAATCTGAAAGATGTTTTATTTTAAAAAATTACCGGATTCTCTGTCATAGTCTACAGTATGTAAAAACACAAACGTCTTTGAAACGTTTTTTCGGGAAGGGGAAAAGGCCCAGCCAGTTTTTTTCATGCACTTTTTATTTGCGGCGTATCTTATTTTGAAGGCACGTTTAAACGTTACCGTAGCGACCAGAGAATGTTGTGGCCAGATAGGACGTTCCTCGTGTCATGATTCGTGTTTATTATCATGTTCCGAAAATACCACACTTTTCATGCAGGTCATATCAAATTATATTGTTGTATTTATCCAGCCTTAAAGGCCCGTCCCTGAAAATATTGTCTGACATGAAACCTCTCCGTGGGGCAAAAAAGGTTGGGGACTTATGGGTTAGAGGGCCAGCTGGCTACGCTGAAGCAAATTGCATGTGGCCACTCCAGCCAGTAGATGGCAGTGGGACATTGGGAGCTGCCGCTCTGCTTGTCAATTCTTTTTATGGGATTTACTGGAGACACAATGGGTGCGCGAGGCCCTTTCACAAGAAATCTTTTAATCGACACAATTGCGGGATGAGGAAGCGACTTCAGCATTAACAGGAAACCCACCTTTGACCTCATGGTGCGTTCTGAACGTTTGGCCGCTGCAGCTGCCATTTTCAGAATGTCAGGATTGCTTTTGGACTTCATGATGTCTGGGAGAAAAAAATAAATTAAGAGAAAGCCAGACGCATACATATACACATATATGTATTTAAAAAAAAGACTACCCGTATGTATAAGAAATTTGGGTGTAGTCAATGTTGAAGTAATTATGAAAACATTGCATGATTTAAGACATGTAAAAACTTGTAATTAAGTATAAATACAATTTTCAGTTTTACCATGGCCCATTACGCCTCCTATATAGCTCGTAATGTAAATTTATTTCTCCCAAGAACCCCTAAAACCAAGACAGACATTGCTACATTCTTGATGTTTTCTGGAAAACGGAGCCCTGCTGCTATTAAAGGGGCGCTATAAATAAAACCACTTTAAAAGTATGTCGCGGCATGAGGCCCCATAACTAAATGTCCTAAATAGCCGGTTTGTTTCTGTCTACCATATCCTCCTCCTCGGTCCACTTGCTCCAGCGATGGTTCACCAAGTGCCTCGTGAGCCAGCTGCAGCTGGTCCCTGAGCCGGCCCAGATCCCGCTCGGCTTTGGCCTTGACGATGCTCAGCTCTGTGTAAATGTCTTTGTACTTATCTGTCGCGTATTTTTTGTCCTGAAAAGACAACGTTTTGGCAGTTCTAGCGAGGAGTGTGAACTTGAAAGGGACAGACAAGGTTTCGGAGGTGAAAATCAAGACGTACTCTCTGGGCAGCTTGGAGTTCATCTTTCAGGGAGTTGATTTCCTGCTTTAGGTATTGGACCTCAGATTCCTTCACCCTCAGCATTACCTGGAAAACCAGCAGAAGATAACCACAGCTGAATACGTACTCCAAAATTCACTCAAAGAAATGACATTCTTACAAGGTGTGTCTACGTAGAAGGGGTGGAGCAATAATTGATTCTTAGCTGCATCGTGACGACGATGGGCGCCACTCAAGTGCTCAGTAAATATTAATAGATTATTAAATAATTTAATGCTGGCTGAGTCGATAGTCGTCACTCAGACACGCATGCATACACGAGTGGGCATATGGAAACCACTGCTTCAACATAAGTCATTTGAGTGAACAACGCTCACTTATATTAACTTTGGGCAAGTAAAAAGTCTTGAAATGATTGCGACATGTCACATAAAGCGCACGTCTAGCTCATTTTAGGTTCCTTCGCTATCGCAATGAATTAAATACATTTTTAAACCTGCCAACTGCATCGTGTGATCCAAAATTCAAAGCAGTTACACAAAATATCACGACATATGTCTTAAGTTTGTCTATGGCTCTCAGGAAGCTGACCACCGGATACATTAGTCACCTCCCTATTGATAATATTGATGCATCAAAATCATCAGAACCGTACTTCCAACTCGTAGAGCTCTTTTCCCTGGATTGTGTTTGTGTCTCCGACACCATCCTCAGAAGTCATTGAACGCATCTTGGTGATCTCTGCTGCCAAACGATTGTTCAGTTCCTGAAAGCACCACACAAAACAAACCCAAAGCGGTTGGATGGATGTACTGTGCCCCATCGGGGATAATTCGTGAACGAAAAGACCATCTCGAGTATTACTGTGTGTGTTTTATCAGTACCTGGTTGTGTGCATTGAGCTCCTGGTTTTCTCTCTGACACTGCCTGAGGGCCTGCCTCTCTGCCTCCAGCGCCTGGGCCAGGTGGGCGTTTTCTAGGCACTTCTGGGAATACTGCTCTGACAACACTTCAATCTCTCGCTGGAAGGAACACAGTTCCTCTCTGCAGCACAACATGATACCGCAGTGAGAAGGGAGTCATATAGCATACAGTTAAAAGTTCAACAACTACATCTGTAGCTTACCGTATTTTCCGCACTGTAAGGTGCTTCAGAGTATAAGCCGCACCGTCAATGAATGGCCTATTTTAAAACTTTTCAAATATACGGCATACCGCATTGTAAGACGCATAAAATAGAAGCTAAAATAGTGGCTAAGGCTACGTTATGCATCCACTAGATGGAGCTACGCTAAAGGTAATACAATACAATACGGCTTTAATTATATAGAGCCGTCACAACCTGCTGCAGCTGTAACAATGCGCTTTACAGAACATTTCAAATACTAGGTACAAGAAATCAGAATACTGATCCACATATAAGGCGCATCGGATTATAAGGCGCACTGTTGGCTTTTGAGAAAATTGAATGCTTTTGGGTGCGCCTTATAGTGCGGAAAATACAGTACTTTAAATTTAAAGGGGGAAAAAAAGGAAAGGCAGTGGACACACCACAAACATTTAAAACAGTTTTTAAACAAGGAAACATATTTAGAATTCGACAGGTTTCGAGCCGAACATTTTGCACTGTTCTTTAGTGCAGCAGCACAAAACTGAGTTCCACCCAAACCAAATTGCTGCCTGTCTTTTTAGGCAATGTTGACTGGTAAATGGTTTACTGGTCAATTTTCATTCAGTCGATTTTGGTTCAGAACACAATCAGCCCTGTATGTGTTGTAGATGGACGAAAAGGAGGCTTTCAAAGTCACGGAAACTTCTAGCCCCACTCCACAAAAGGCTGGTCACGCCGGGCCAACCTCTTATTTCTTTTAAGCGTACAATTGAGAAATTAGCGGGGCTGGGCACCGAAATTGCTCTCAGCCTAGAGCCCTGACTTGGCAACCGCCATTTTGTTCATGATACTGTGCCAAATAGTGCAAAGTTGGAGGAAACCTACTCATGCCCTCTGCGCATCTCATCCATGTCTGCATTCTCTGCATTGCTGTTAGCTTTGCGAGCCTTGTCCAGCTCCCTCTCCAGCTCGTTCCGGTGAGCATTTTTCATGGCTTCGATTGCTAAGAGCAATACAAAAGTCAGTAAAATAACTTAACTGTGACATGACTCCCTTCCACTACTTTAATTTGTTCATGGCTTACCAGAAATGGTGGCCGCAGTTTCCTCTGCCAGCAGTCTTTCTTTTTCCTCCTGCAGGTTCTCCAGCTCTCTCTGGTGTTTCCTGTGGAGCTCGTCGATCACTTTCTGATGAGACTCTTCCATTGCAGCAAAGCCCCTCTCGCAAGTTGCCTGTGACAGGACAATACGGGGGACAGTGAGTGTATATTGTATGGCTCAGCTCCAAAAGGACCAAGAGGCTCCGAGTCTGGACGAAACGAGCTGAGCAGGAAAAACCTCTCGGCAACACGGGGACCCAAACAGATGGCCCATTTATTAGCTGGCAAAGAACTTGCAAGCTACTGCGTGTTAGCCATGAGCAAGTTGAGCCTGTGTGAGCACAAAAGGGTTAAGAGGAATGAAAGGATACACAATGACAATGAAGGCACAATGAAGAAAATGCATCGCCATGAAAGAGGGTTGAACAAAGTGTTCCGCTGTCATTTGTGTATCAACAAATATGTAAGCGTCTGATTATGCAGATGAGACAGCATATTTAATTTTTTTTTTTTTCATTATATGGCCCAAAACCTCATTCACTCACTGACAAGCACTGCACAGCAGTCAGTCATGGTGCAAGTTTCTACAAGCCCAACCAAACACATGGAATGCTTCCGTTCTTCTATTCACCGACGCTAATCTGCGAGCTCAGTCGATGGCTCCACGTCCATTCTCCATGCCTCAACCCAACTGCAGCCACAGAGGGGAAACGGCGGTCTCGTCTGTTTTTACAGGGATAAAATCTCCTGGGAGCTCCGCTCCAGGAACCCACTGTGAGAAGCTGAAAATCCTCCCCGAGAGCAAACATAAACTTCCTGCTCTGACATCAGACCAAGCAGACGCTTTATTTAGAAGCATGTCAGACACTGTATCATGTAAGTAAATACATACTCGGTCGTGGCGTGGGCATGAACTCACTACTCAGACGCTTCAGAGCACTTCAATTAGCCAAGTTAAAAAAGGACTAACTACAACGCTAACACAAATTTTAATTTGACCAAATCCAAATTATAACCGTAAAAATACTGCAGCGAAAATAAGATCCACATACCCAGTAAACAATAACACACCTTCAGTACCATTAACAACGAACATGTAGTTTGAGACAAAAAAATAAATGATTGACTCAAGACACTTGAGTACTTTATCAGCTGCCAAACAAAATTGGTGATGTATGAGGGAACTAATCATAAATTAGCAAAAATGCTATGTTTATCTTTTTCATATTTCAGCTACTTCCGGCATATGGATTTGCAGTGATTGATTCAAACATTTAAATTAAAATGGCACGCATTATTTTGGGCCCCACAAATGCAGCACGTACAAAGACGAGAGAAATCTGTTTTTTTTTTTATAGCCTGTTTGCCATCATGTGACGTGACTCTTTAACATGGCTCCAGTTTACAATATAATGACTGATAGGGATCAAAAGATTAAAAATAGCAATTGTTAAACAGAATCATTGGGAAATAGATCAGACCAATAAACACCTAAATAAGAGTTATCTCGTTACGCCTAACACCTACGATATCCCATAAAGAAAAAGAAAAAAAAAAAAAAAAAAAAGCCTACGGCTGTGAAAGCACGATATAAATACAGCTGCATCGTATTGCATTCCCTTTAGCGTAGCTCCATCTAGTGGATGGTGAGCGCATCCACAGCCACTATTGTAGCGTCTATCTTATGCTCCTTATAATGCGGTGCACCCTATATATGACAACAGTTTTAAAATAGGCCGTTCATTGAAGGTGCGCCATATACTCCGAAGGACTTTGTAGTGCAGAAAATACGGGTACAATAAACTAGCACCTTTTGGTCACGGTTGAAAAAATTGTGAAATGATTTCTCTCATTTACGTAACTTTTTTTTTTTTTTTTTTTTTAATATCCATGGTGGGTGAACTAATCTACAAAGAGTATGGAAAACCATCCGTTTCATTCTATGTTGGAGAATCAGTTCATGAGTTAAGAAATGTAGTACTGATGACAGAAGAAACTCAATGAATGTTAGAGTTCATGCAACACAGAAGGAAAGAGGTTAACAGAACACTGGGGCAAGTGGAGGATGCACGGAGGTTGGAGGGGGGATGTAGTAGGAGTTGGGGGGAGGAAGTGGATCTGGGAATGCCACAAAGGAACATAAGGCATCACAGATGGCGGACGATAAGGACAACGAACGCTTCCACCTTTAAATTTTCCAGGTCTTTCTCGTATTTCAGCCGGAGAGTGGTTATCTCGCCCTGTTCTTCGCGACGTCTCATCTCTTCGGTCATAACTGACACTTGGGTCAGCAGCTCCTGGATGCACTCTTTCAGATGGGATGTCCGGCCAGGGGTGCCATGTAACGGACCTTCCTCTGCTGTAGATGCCTTGTTTCTGTTTGAAGGAGCAACCATTCTCCTTAGCGCCTCCATTTCTTCGTCAAACCGCTCCATGAGATTGATTCGTTCTAACTCGTGCTTCTTCTTGAGGTCTTCCATGCAGTTTGTCAGTGAATCCATCTCTCTGGCATTCTCTTCTGAGCGCAGGCACAGAGTTTCACTGGCTTCAGCAATCTCTTGTCTCAGTCTGTCAGTTTCCTGTTCGTAGCGGTCTTTAACCTCCCGCAGCTCCTTCTCATACTTGGCTACCATGTCCTGATGTGTCATGTCACAGGTTTTCTCAGCTGAGCTCATGGGCTCCCCTACGGCGTGGATGGAAGTCTCTGGCATGTCGGATGCGTCGCACGACTGACTATGAAGATCTGCCAGCTGGGTCTGCAGATCTTTGGCAAGCTTTCTCAATTCCGGGCAGTTTGGACAATCAAAACCATCAACGTCAACTTTGGTCTGCTTTTTCCGGAATTCTTTTTCATGCTGCACCCGCAGCCGAATAATCACATAGGACATGCAAGCATCTTGAAGTGCATCAAGGAGATACTCCGAAGACTGCCCGTCTTTGAGACCACACGTAAAGCGATCAAAGTCGTCATCTTTGGCCAACTGAAGCCTCAATGCATTTTTTTCCAAACAGATTGCCTTTGCCTTTAATGTTTCGGTTAATTCTTTAAGAAGGCGGCTGTTCGTTTCGTCATCAAGCCAGTTATACATCGATGAGAAATCTGACTCGGCCATTCTGTCTGTCTCAGCTTCGGCATCTGCATAAATCTGACCGATCAAGAGCGTCAAGCGCTTGTGAGCAATCTCTTGTGCCAAACTGTTTCCAGAGTCCAGTTGATCGGCTTCTGGTTTTATTTTAGTGGTACATAGAATCTGGCTCAAGAATTCGGCCTCTAATACCAGCCTCATGTTTTTTTGACTTTTGCAAAAAAGGCCTTCTTTTCGAGAAGGAAGATGTTTGCTTACACATAAAGTGCTTTTTAAAAATTTCAGCATTTTCTCAACACCGACATCTATCTTGGGCAACATGTCTAAAACCTGATTAGCCGCCTCTGACCTCTTCTCAACCTCATCGACTACTTGCTTTAAAATACCTTCATTAACATGCTTTGCTCCTTCCTGAACACAGTCACCGATGCCCGGAGACTTTTCACCTCCACTTCTCCTCATTTCTAACTTCTCTTGTAGCATCACTATTTGATTTTCTACTTCTCTAAGCTTCTCTTGATTGACCTCCTCCGATTTCTGCTGTAGTGCGATTAATTCACGGTTGCTGGATTCAAGTTCAACACAGTGTCGTTGAGTTGTATGGAGGGCTGCCTCGGTGTCAAATAACTTTGCTTGTGAGGCTTCAAGAAGTTCTTTAAGCTGCTCCTGCTCCAGGTGCCGTGCCTCATCCTCACAATCCGCCTGGAATCCAAGACCTTTCAATGTGGCTTCTCTCAACTGCAATTTCTTCTCCGTGTCCTTTAGGATGCTGCCAAGGTCCTCGATTGTTGTCAAAGCTTCACGAAGCCTCAGCGATTTCTCATTCAGCTCTCTCTCAAAATAGTCCCTGTCAATGGCATTAGCCTGGCTTTTGGCCAAGTCGGCCTTTAGTCTTTTCATCTCTTCCGTAACGAGATGATGCTGGTTGACACACTGACGGCCGATAAGCTCGGCTTTCAGTCTGTCTATTTCTCTGTCTGCCTCAGTCAGTTGGTTCACGATCTCTTGGCATTTTTGTTTCAATGCACCGTTTTCACTTGTTAAAATCTCGATCCTCTGAGTAAGCATTCCAATCGTCTGCTCTTTTGTCTCGGAATGGTTATCAGTTCTTGAGAGGGGACCAAAGGGGCCTTTAATACTTTGCTTCTGAACCAAATCGTCCATGTTTAAAAGACGGGATTCATATTCCCGGATGGTTTCTCCAGCTCGGGCCAAACTCTTTTTCATCATCTCATGTTCAATCTCCTGTTGGCATTTCCAGGTCTCCAACACCTTCTGAAATGGTTGTTTCTCTGACGTTTCTTGATTTAACGTGTGGCATTTTAACAGCTTTGTCAGTTCCTTCACAGTGAGAGATTTGCCAGCAGTTAAGTCATGAAGTTCTTGACCTGCTTCTGTACTATCCAGGAGTAAAAAGCTAACTGTTTGCTGGACAGGTTCAGGCATAGTGCCTTCCGGAATGGGTATTTTTGGGGGTTCGGAAAAATGAGGTTCCTTAAGAGGGTGGTGAGAAAGGGAAAGGCCAAGCTGTGCCTGCATATTGCGCTTTTTCAACTCTTGCAGCTTCAGGAGTTCTTTGGTCTCCTGGTACTTCTTTGTTAAACTCTGTGCTTGAGGACTAACCAGTTCTGGCCTCTTCATCTGGGGCGTCACATCAGCCTCCAGACCCAAATGGTGTTCCAGCTTGGAAAAGGGGATCAAACAGTTGGTTAACACACAGCAGGGGACACACAAAGATTTGATTATTAATCAGCTTTTCTATTACGTTCTCGCATTTTCTATGAAAATGAGTCATTACTATTAGAATCCCAATCGTAATAATATCTAAATGTGTTTCATGTAACAATACAAGACATACAATTGCCTTTAATTCTACTCACTAAAATCAAAGAAGAAAGATTTGACGGCAGGCGTTAGTTACAACAGCATGCTTATGAAACAGTGAAAGGTTACTTCATGTGGTAAGTAATGCAATATTAGTTTGCTTTAGTGGGATGGTTGACTAAAGGATGAAAGACATAACCAAGACTTTTCAGCACAGAATTCTAGTCCAAGCTCCTTATACCAAAGCAGCGCTTTGTGGAATCACATTAGCCAAGGTAAGCCGAATGGTTTCCCCTAAAACTCCCAAAACTTTCAACGACATTGCACCACAGTAACGTCAGTCTTGAATTCAACCATGACCAAAGAAAACTACACATTAAATTCAATAATCCAGCCTCGCTTTGGCCACACTCATCAATTAACCCACAGGCGCACGCACGCACGCACGCACACACACACACAAAGAATAAGAATCAAATGAATGGTCGTTGCATCATGCCGGCAATATTTGCAGTTAAGAGACAATGACAATTTTATATACATGCACATAATTCGAAACAGCCAAAATGTTATTCATACACATTTACAGAAGTTAATCGACTGGCAATGCGTTTATAACCCCGGTGCAATAAAATTCCTGATAGTACTGAGTCACGATGTATCATTCTGTACTGTCAGTCTCAATAGAGCTACTGAGCTCTTCGAGTTTGACAAGGGAAACAAAAAAAAAAAAAAGGCAAAGGTGGCAATTCCACAAAGTTTAAATACCGATGATCGCATGAGTTCAATTATTGGGTAGTAGGCCTACAGTATGAAACAGAAGAGATTAACAAGTAGAAGCCAATGTAATAATTAGATCTCAAATGTTTTTAAACATGCAATGAACTCATGCAGAGGCACACATTGGTAGCCCTTTTGTTTGTTTTGTTTTTCTTTTTTTTCTTTTACATATTAACACATGCAAAGGATGTTACACAATAGAGAATAAACAATTGGATCAAATGTTAAAAATCTATCAAAAAATGGTAACAAAAACGTCTAATGTTGTAACGTTGAACTAAACTCACCGGAGATATGTAACCTGCTCGTATGTCCTGCTCTCTCTCAAGAGCTGTTCTCAGCTGCAATTCAAGCTCCTGCTTGTGTTTGTTGGAGTCAAGCAGCTGCTGGTGACAGCCTTCCAATTGTGCTTTAAGTTCTTCCATCTGGAGAAGCAGAAGGGAAAAACATTTGATGTCATGCGAAATGTTGTTCAATGTATCAGTGCTAGCAAACAGCTACTTTTTTTTTTTTTTTTTACATTTTCAAATAATTGTAAATAAGCAGCTCTAAAAGGTGCAGCTAACCTATGTGTTCCGCATTGGAATCGGCAACATAAAACCCTGATCAGAACACCCCTATTTCAGAAAGTTGTAATACATTTCTGACGCATTATAACAGTGCTCACGAGGGTTACAGAATCCAAAACTGGGTCATGGAATCAATTCAGATGGCTCACAGATAGATTTAGAATTTTTTTTATCAGGTTCAACACGGTGCCGAATAGTTTATAAAGCTATTTTGCAGATCAGCATACACATTATCCACCACGTGAAATATTTAACGTACATTTCCAGGTCGGACTTGAATTATTTTTCGACAGGCAAGCGTTAGAAACTTTCCTACGCGGAACTGGGCATTGCTATCCAGATTCTGAATTCTGCAGTACAGAGGAGTACCAAGTTCCTATTTGGAAAATATCACACAACGGCCACGAAGTGTAATTAATTCGCACGCTACATACACGTTTACTCTGCGCACAAATACAGTGCTGCTCAGCCTCTAGCTAGTGGATGACATGGCTAATGGTGTGGTTCTGGAAAGTGATTATCAGTACAGAATGCAAGATGGAGCCAAAGACTGTTCAAATTTAATGTTCTCTGAACATGTAAGCATAGCACTGATTATGTTTAAAAATATGCTATGCATTCAAATATTTTTACAAACGCAATTTTTAAACGATGCATTTTCTTTATTCTTCTTAACTTTTACAAAACTGAGTCGCGCTTTGGCAACAATAGGAAAATGCGCACCCCCATGGTAACCCCAATTGAGAATAAATAACCTAAAACAAGGTAAGAAGTAAACGTACCCCTTGCTTGTAATTGTCCAGCAAGTGTTCGAGCTCCACCGTCTCTCTGGCAGAACCTGTCGAAGGCAGGGGCACCCTTCGCTCTTCTCGAATCGGCGTCTTCTCTACCTGTCGCCAATGTTGCTCAATCACCTCCTCAACCTTCTGATGCCTTTCTAGAAACTGAGGACCTGATGAGTCAGGCACTTTTTCTGTACTCTGGAAGTCCATTCTCCCGCCTTCTTTGAGCGACGAGTGCTCCATCGCTGAACTCGTCACAGACTCATACCTCTTTCGCCTCTCCTCCCTCCGCCGACTACGCTCTAGCTCTCCTAGGTCTGCCTGAAGGCTCTCGGCCTCCTGTGCCCGTTGCTGAGCCAGGGCTTGGGCGATAGGTCTGAACTCGGCCCAATCAAAAGTCTTCGATCGACCCTCTCGCCTACGCTCACGTGCTCGGCTCTTTATGATGCCTTGAGTGGATTCTCTTTCCACTGATGAAGTTTCAGATGAGGGAGAGTCCTGAGTCACGTCTGGTCTCACCAGGCCCTCCAGAGGAGAAAAAGAAGCATGGTCATCTGTTGAGCTGAAGAACAGAGAAAAGAAGAATATATCTTAGCACTGCACAATATCATTCAAAAGATCTTACGTTTTTTTTTTTTTTATTGAGAAATGGCACTAATGAGATTTTACTCACCTTGCTACATCAGGAGCAGTAGATGGTCTGACATTCTTCATCACTGCCTGGATCCAATTTCTCCGGATACCCGCTGTCATGGCCGAAAGTGTGTAAACTCCCTCTTGAGTCTAAACATTTAAACACATTTAGAAATATAAAAATCACATGAGGCACTGCCCTCCATAATTATTGGCCTCCTTGGTTAAGATGTGTTCTTTAGCCTCTAATTATTTTTTTTCTTCTAAATAATATCGGGCCAAAATAGGGGGGTGGAGGATCAGCACCTCATCTTCTGTAACGGGGTGACAAACTCTTTTTTTGTCGCAGGCCACACTGTAGTTATGGTTTCCCTTGGAGGGCCGTCATGAATTTTGGGAAATCATATACATATTTAATCACCTCCACATATTATACACCCAGCGACCACCAAATTGATGGATAGCCAGTTTTAAAATCAGAAGTCAAGAATAATGTCTGTTATTGTGGATTACATATGACATTTTGAAATTTTGGTTCAGACTTTAGCAAGCATCATGGAACTTGACATGTTTGATTTGCTCTCGCGGGCCACATAAAATTATGTGACGGGCCAGATCTGGCCCCCGGGCCTTGACGTTGACACCTGTGTTCTATAATGTTTCACAAGATGGGACAATACAGAGAGAGGGCCCTTGAACCATTCTCCTTGAAACAATCTGTCAAAATCATCCAGTGACCTGGGTCCTCGCCTCTGCATTCTCCTCTTTAGCTCACTCCACAAGTCTTTAATTGGGTTGAGGTCTGGGGAGTAACCTGCTGCCCATGGCAGGAGCTTGATTGTGTGTCTGGTGGAACGACTAAAATTTTTAATATAACAGTATGCTTCTGCACAAAAAAAAAAAAAAAAAAAAAAAAAATCCCCCAAAAATATATTTTCAAGCTTTTAACCTATCTTAACTGGGGGTGCCAATAATTATGGAAGACACTTTTAAATATTCTATGATAAAAGTTTTCAGCAAAGCTTTGAGGTTGGAATAACAACACAAAACAAATGCAATTTCTGAAACATGAATAAAGAGGCATTGAGACAAAACACCTTACTTGTATTTGGAACCCGTAATTTCGTTGAGCCTGGTATTCCGTGACATTGTAACAAGTTGACAGATCAATCTCACCGTCCAGGTCAGAAGCCTTAAGGATCAATAGCAGATGCATGAAAAAAAATAACCACAAATTCAATTAACATGGAAAAAAAAGTAAAAATTCACCTCCTCTGCGATTGAATCCTTGTAGTAACGTAGGCTGTGATCTGTCAGAACAAACCAGGATTTCTTCCACTACAGCAGATACAAGAAAAAAAAGTACGATGATGTTTAGCAGACTGGATTTCTTCCACTACAGCAGATACAAGAAAAAAAATACGATAATGTTTAGCAGACTGAATCGTGATAATGTGGTGAAATACATGAGACACAAGCACCTACTCAAAAAAAAAAAGTTTTCAAGAGGGCTGTAAAAAGGTCTTAATTTATTATTGATTGTGGGGGAAAAAAAAACTATCGGTACATCTCTTTTAAAATGTGGCCATGCCTCGTTGAAAGGTATAAGAATGCTGAAAACGCGCCTTGAAAAAGAGGCATATTTAAACGTGCATTAAAAACTTGCAAATCAGCTACCTGCCCTTGCTCGTCCAGCTTCACCATCCATCCTTTCTTGAAGTTCAGTAAATCTGGCTAGAATTGAAAAGAACAATTACACAACTGCGGTAAAAAAGACAGATGTGAACATTTTTTTTTTTTTACAGTGTTACTTGCAGGTACGTGGACATTCTCAAAAACAAAGCTGATCAAACAATCCTGTTTTAAATGTGCACTTTTCAAACAAATATATGATTTTTTTTAAATCTGCTCAAAACAAAAGACAGTAAGACGCATGCTCAGTCAAATCACACTTCAGGTGGGGGAGAAGTTGACGTGACATATGGTCTGGACAATTTCAACTAATAGGATAAGACTGTGGTCTCAAAGCGGACCAGTGGTCAGGTCCAACTTCCACCTCATTCGTTTTTGCTCTGTGAGAATCCAGCTGAGGATGCACAATCCTATGCTTGATATTGTAATAAACTGCTGTGGTTTGACGCAGTGGGAGACAACAAAGATGTGACCGGTGTCCAGAGAAAGCAGATGCGGTGAACAAGCTAAAAACACGCACATACAAACACAAACAAAATTGACAAAGGACAGCTGGCCGATAAAAGGGTCAAAGAAAACGTGGGTAAGTATGTCATTGTGTTCGCAGCAAGATTTTAAGGATGAGGATATGTTTTAGCATCTGATTAACTTTGCTCACTTATTTTTACACTTGTGGAACAGTTGTTGCTATCCAAGTTACAAAGTTACTCAAAAACATACCTGTATGTTTTTTTTTCCTTTTTAAAGATGAGCATTTGATCCTGAAAGAAGAAATGTATCAGTAGGAAAGGTATGTGCTAGCTAATAGCACTGCTTTCCGCTGAGCATAAGCTAGTGATACAACCACCCCCGATACCAGGCGAGATTTTAATTGATTGCCCCCCCATCGGTGATTTTCATATGCTTACAAGAGGAGATACTTTTTTTTTTTTTTTTAATAAACATTGCCTTCAATAAGATAACATTACACAATACACATTTAGAATTTTTTTTTTCAAACAAATCATATAAGTGACTTGCTGCTGCGACTTCTAATTGCGCAAATCAAACGGAGGAACGAGTTGAACTCTGTTCCAATTTTCCTCCTGTTTTTTTTTTTCTTTCCCTGTGCTCTGGATAGCTTTGGTAATCTTGACATGTTTGCACAGTTCTCCGGGGTCACATCAATAAATTTGCTCTGTTTGCCATTGAGGGTTCTCAAACTTTGATGTGTTATTACTCTTGCTTACAGAGATTAACGATGTTCCTGACTTTTTGACTTTTCCTGTCTCTGTACATGATACCTATCATTCCCATGCTGCAATTTCATCTTATTAAAAAAATATAAAAATATTTACGAGTCATTATTCTTTCAACTACCGCGAGCCTAACGGCTCTCTTCATTTCAGTGTAAATCTTTGGCACCGGAGGGCCATCGCCGGGTTTCCATAGCAACCCGCGTTGAATTCTGAGAAAAGCTGCCGGTCACCATAGTCTAGATAAACAACTTCAACAGTAAGGAGGCATTACATCAGCTTCAAAATATTGACGAGGCTGTGTTTGAGGATGAGTGGCCGCTGGATGTCTTGGGTGACAGTAACTCCGAGCGAGCAGTCTCCCCCCTCAACAAAGAGGAACTGTGCCGCGTCACTTCCCCCACAATGTTTACTCCACTATAAAATCACGAGTTTAGCGGAAGAAATGACTGATTGGAAACCGTGCGGGAGATAGGGTTGTAATTAGGGAGCCTCCTGTGTGAATCGGGAGAGTTGGCAAGTATGATGAGTGTTTTTTTATTTTAATCAATTTGGTGCCCCCTCCAGCAGATGGCGCCCTATGGGGCCACTTGGTTTGCCTATGCCCAGGGCGGGCGATGCTCCTCACAGACACACACACACACACCCACACACACACACACACACACACACACACACACACACACACACACACACACAACAGCACACACACTCAAAATGAGGGCACTGAAAATACACGGCAGGCAAAATCTGCAACAGAAGAAGCAGAATAAGCATGTAACCTGAAGAGGAGAGGGAGGGATGGAGACATGGCCATACCCTCACACCATCACATCAGAGCAACACTAGTCTAGCGGAGAAAGGCAATTACTGTAATAGAAATAATACAAATAGAAAGAATAAAAGTGTCAAGTAATCTCAAGAAAAAAAAAATGTCAACATTGGACAAATTGAGTTGCTAATGAGCTGTTCAAGGAATTGTGTAGCCAAGGTTTCAATGTCGTTGGAGGAATTTCACAAAATAACCAAACACGGTTAAATCAATATGGTCTCAAAACAAAAAAGCCTGAGTCTTTTCGAAACAGCTCAAAGCCAGGCGGCCATTTTGACCCTGGATTGTAAGACTTTTTAGCAGGACAGAAGCAGCTTTGTCTAGAGACAACAGACATACAGAATCGCACCAGGATTAACCGGCACATTTCAACTGGAGGTAATCAGATAAGGAGTTTCCATCAAAGCTTGTTATTCACTATATCGTCTGATCAAAGCACTTTCTCTTCTGCCTCATTCTCTCAATATTTTTCATCAAGCTAGCATCTTCTAAGTTCTGTTATGTTCGATTGTACTTTTATTTTTTAACTTGCCTTTTCTCCCTAAACATTTTGCGGGCGAGGCCCACAAGCGTTTCCTCCCTGCCAGTGTCTGAATGTGAATTGCACGAACCAACATCGTCGTACTAAATTGTTTGGAAGACAAAAATGTTGGTTGAGCTAGTGCGAAATATTTGTGCACCTTGCTCCCCAAAGCAGTCAACCTCGCCTAAACGCTAACCGAATGGACAAACACCAAATGCTAAAAGCTATGGGCTTTCAGAGACCTAAAAAGTTGCAATTGGAGGATTGAGCATATTATGTAAGCCTAAAATAAATCACTTAAATGACAACTGACAAGAAGTCACTTTCAAGAAACGATGTCGTTCTGTGTTTTAACTATTTCATAGGTCATTTATATATCAGTTATTGTATACAAATCAAAGTGTGTAAAGACAACCTAATAACAGTAGCAGTCTATTTCGGACCAACTAGCGAACTCAACAATGTGTGCTTTAAATAGAAGCAAAAATATGACTGCACTTCGACAGCAATATGCCAACAATGTGCCATCACACCCATTTGGTCAGCACACCTACGCTAAAAGCTGGTAACATTGAGGTGGCAGTGCAGACGTCAGCATAATAATAACTCATTATGAAATGTGACTGCCTACAATCTCACGACAACATGTATGACACCCTGAGCGTGAGACAGAGATTTCACGGGAAAAAAATAGCATGACACACACACAAAAAAAATAAATGAAACACCTTGATGAAAAACTTGATGAATCCCAACGTTCACTTTTATCCTACAAAATATGGTATGATGAGAAACATGGATCTTAGAAAGACTTGTTGACCAAAGCACGGGGAAGAGTTATCACTCACTGTCATGACTGAATCGGTAGTCCGTCGGTCAAGGGACTTGGCTCTCCGAAGAGGCGGCAGGGAAGAGGTGAAATCCAGATTTTGACCCTGAGGACGATACATAAATATGTGACCAATCTACATTTATTGTATGGTCAGTACATTCAAAAACATGTGGTATAATGCAGGTTTTTGAGATGTAATCATACGTGGTACTGTATATAAATGGAAGTCTGGCAATTTTGCGAGAAAAAAAAATTGCTCAACTGGTTTAAAAAGTCTAAATAATATTCTAAATCCATCAGAAAACCAACACAAAAATGAAAGCGTAAGTTAAACATAGTTTGTTACTATCATCACACATGTAAGCATGCTGTCCCAGCATCTTTGTTTGCACACACTATAAGGTGCATAAGGGGAAGACATCTGGCAGAACAAGAGAAACCTATTCAACAGTATGAAAAAAAGTCAGTATGATAGCATTGGGGGTGGGGGCATCATGGTGGGAAAAGGAAGCACAATCACCAGGGGAATCCCACCACAGAATACAAACTGGAAATGAAGACAGCACATGCGGATGATCTTTGAACCACAAACCAAAAAAAAAAAAAAAAGACAGGACAGTATGAAAAAAAAGATGGCGGGAAGACGAGGCAAAGAAAAACATTGGGAAGATGAAGTGAAATATAATAGGATTGCCCCCGCCCCCCAAAAAAAAACATAACGGCATGTCTTATGCTGATCTATGTCCTGATGCGACACCGTTAATAAAAACAAAAGAATAATAAACACTTTACAAGCCTCTCTGTATGCATCGTAAATTGCTTTACAATGCTGGCAGTATTCGCTCCAACATGCTCACGTAAATGTGTGCACGCAGAAAGTATTATACCTCTCTGTGGAAACGCCTGTGCTCACTGCGGCCTTCTCTGGCTCCACTCCTGCCCGACTCTTCCACCTCCATTTTCTCTGCATTCTCAAGCTCGAGGGCCTCCAACTTCTCAATCACGCCAGAGCGACTGTGAATCAACATTCAACATTCACATGTCAAGTTTTAAACAGGTCAAGGAAAAACAACATCCCGTTATTACTGAAGCAACACAGACTGACAGATCTAAACGAGAGAATATTAACTATTTTTGGTGTGCCGTATAGTGTGTGAAGGATAATTTGCTCATTTTCCTGATATTGTGCTCATAAGTTGGAAAACCAGTTGAAGCTTTTGGTGTACAACTGCCCCGCAAATGCTGAGTTGAGACACAAATTGTATTTTAGTCCATATGAAGCATAGTCTAGGTTGTCCAGCAGCAAAATAAATTGTTACTGTGGCGCCAGGGCCCACCCCAAGTAAATTGGAAATTATACACAGAAAACTATGACGATGGCCAGTCTTGTGAAAATGTACTATTAAAATATGGAAAGGTACATATGGCTACAAGAAAGAAAACAAGAAAAGCAAAACGTACGATTCTCTCACGAGTTTGCGAAAAGGGAGCTTTTGAGAAGAATGATGAAGGCGTCGAACTCATCATGCTCAAGTTTTTACGTGTCCCACAAAACAGCATGAAATAAGGAGGTATGCAGCGTGGTGGTTTTATAAAACCGAAAATAAATCAAATATGCAAAGAATGTATTCAGGAACTGAATGTTAAGGGGAGGAAGTGCGTAAAACACAGAGTTTTTAATTTGCTCCTTTTGTTTTCAGATATTAATGCCTCTATTAGAAAGCTGGCAGGAAATGAGGAATAAGAATTTAATCTGACCTCGCTAAGCATAGACGGGGGTTAAATTGAGCAGGAAGCCGACTCTGGGAAGAAAATGATGACCTCCCCACCCCACACTCCCGCCCTGGTTTGTTTAAAAAACTGCTGTCTGTAATGTGTGTAAGTGGGTGTGAGACTTAAAACTCTCCACGAGGCAGATTACTGAATGGAAAGTACACAGTGTGGATTTATATTCCATGCTTACAGTCAATGACGTAACTGCTGATAAAAGAATAGGCTTTCTGAGAAACCCGCGTAATAGGGATGCTCACAACCCTTGTGCGCCTTTAATTTACTTGATACAACCATCCAGTCATTTATATTCCTGTCCACGTAAAACCACAACAGTTCATGTGTCTGCGCTTTAATCCTTGCTCAGGGTAAATGGGCAAATCATTGAAATGATGCAGTTACATAATGTGGCTCAGGTTCCATTAAATACTAGAACTGTTGGTAAAGACGGTGAGGGGAGTGCCGAGCTAAAGATAACGCTTCTTAATTCCTGCAAACAGAATTACATTGTACTTTTCACGCAAGGCACCCATGTCCCACTCAGTTCCAACTAGACACACGAGGCCACATGTTGCCACAATAGATCCACCATCAAGACACCAAAATGTCAACCAACAAAGCACAAATAATTGTCAATAGTAAAACTAACGATAGTACTGTATACTATTAGTTTGATAGTTAAAAACAAAACAAAAACAAAAGCGCAACTGAGGCACAATTAAAATGAAACGGTGCATTACTCAACACATTTTAACAGACACAAAGCATCTCATGATTCATTATTTCTTGTTATACGGAATAATCAGTAGCCAGTAAGTCATGAGAGTGATGGTCATTTAAGAGCACATTTAAAGTTACGGTAAGAATCACAGGACACTGAGCCACTCTGCCACCATGGCAACAGCGGCTGTGGGACTTTTTGGAGGGCCGAAAAGATTCTATTGTCTTTTGGGCCAGGACTGTGCTTTTCAGTGCATACGTGCGTATTAACTCGTCCAATTGACTTGATAGTGTCTATCAAAGACTCAATCAATTAATCAAACTCATCTGTTTATGCAGTGGATACACTGCAACGGAAAAAAGATGGGAGGGGTGTTCACAGTTCCTGGCGAGTGCCCAGAGTTCCTGCTGTCGAAAATGTGCCGAGGGAAGAAGAGGACACTGACCTCCTCTCGGGGCTGAGAACAGCCTCCCTCTCGTGCCTTTCAGGGCTCCTGAACCGGCTCCTCTTCTCTGCCTTTCTCGCTTCCGCTTCCAGCCTTCGGGATCGAGGCGTGTCGTGGTGGCTGTACGAGTGGTTCCCTCTCTGGGGGGCCGGGTGACTCTCAGTGCTGGTCACAGTGCTGCCGCTGGCATCGGAGTCCAGGGAGCTGACCGAGCCACTGATGTGAGAGCCATTAGACAGCAGTGAGCTCCCAGAGGGGAAGGGGTCACTGGGAGCGGGAGAAAGGCAGCGGGGTACACCGCCCAGGCTGGAACAAGAGCCTGTCGGGGAAAGGAGGTCACTGGGCGGCTGCGGCACAGAGCCGTGCAGGGCCAGGCTACCCTGATCCACTTCGTCGCCATTCACTGAGCCTGCGTCAGACCCCTGTCGACATTCACCTACAAAACAGGAAAATGAATCAATGAACACCTTGTCACCGGGAATCAATCCAACTTGATCACCGGTGAAGATATTGCCAGTAATTTAGGACTCTGTGCCATCTGCCAGGACAGAATGTTGTGCGTTTAGAACTGCAGGCTGTTGATCATGACCTTTCTTCCGCAATTCAAGTCCATATTTACAAAACAGAATGCTCCGTATGCAAGAAATGCTCAGAGGGTACGGGGAGGGCATAACAGGGTAGGTGTCTGATGACAGCAAACACGGAGAACAAGAAGTGAAGAGAAAATACGCCAATATTTGTATTCCAACTGGAACCACAATTTGAGGATCATTTTGTCTACTCCCCTCTGGAACATTGAGGCCAATTCGATAGAGCTTTTGCGAAGACGGAAAACAGAAACACGCCGCGGAGAGCAGATGTTGCCAGACAGGCCGAACTTGAGATGAATGTCCTCTAGATTAGCTGTTTTAGCTTGACACCGCATGACGAAGTTGCCGGACTTAACCCTTTCGGGGACAGCGGTTACTACAGTGGACAGCTCATCGTGTTATCGAGTTACAGGGTGCATGAAAGTGTTGAACATGCATTCATAGTGTTCACTGTTTGTACATGGGCTCATAAAACCAATGATAATAATAACAATGAAGTGGAATTTCACTTCACAGTTCAAAATTAATTCATTGCAGAACTCGGTTTGAAAGGAAATACAGTGCACCGGCATCCACTAATTTTTCTTTAATGGCTGTCAATTATATGTGGATTTTCTCCATTCGCAGGCCGGTTCAGTCGCTAGCCCCCGCAAATCGCGGGGGTCCACTGGACCACAGCTCCAGCTCCAAAATTCCAAAACAAAGCTACCTTCACGCTTTGTCGACATCATTCTACATATATCACATGCAACATTTTAAAAGGTGTTATTTTTGCCTGTAGGATGTGGCGGTGGGGAGCCTAAAGGCAGCTCAGCAGGGGCCCAGACTGTGGCCCCTTCAGCCTCTCTTTGGTTGAGCTCTTCCTGCCAGATGATGGAACTGGAGTCTGGAACTTTCTCTGCCTCTGGGATACCTGAGCCAGTCACTGCTACTTTGGCTGGCCCTGGCTCCTGTCGGGAGGCGTGTATATAAAAGCAAGACTTGTTTATTATGGAAATGAAAGCAGCAACTGTATCACCAAAATCAGTTGTCCGTTTGCCAAGAAAGTGCGACATCGAGGGTGAGGAGGCCTACCTGGGAGGTTGTAGGCTCCACCTTACGTTTCTTCTTCTGGTTCTGCTTATTGGTGCGGGGATACACAACGAGCTGCTCAGTCCACCTGAATGGACGATGACAAGTGTGATTTTGACACCTCATCCCTCCGAACACAGACACAAAAACAACATACCCATTAATGATCTCTTTATTCTCCCCCCTGATGAAGTACTCCTGTTCTGGGGTGATGATGCACAAGGAGTTCTTCTGGCCAGTCTTCGGTTCCGCGTCGACGACATCCATACATAGGTTCATATTCACTGTGCCCTGAGGCAGTGTACTTGGCTAAAGGAGAACAAACAAGCAAACGGTCACTGTTGTGTTTGGTAAGCCAATAAGAATGCCGACTAAGTTGACATTTTATCATTGGATGCCCCCCCCCCCCAAAATATAAAAGAAAACATGAACAAATAAGGAAATAGTTGAAACAAGAACTGGGCCAGGAAGAGGCGCCTGGCCAACAGTAGTGATAACTATGAAAAATACCCATTTTAAAGAAAGCATGCTTCGGGGTCACAGAATGTTTCATTTTTCATCAGTCTTTCCATTTTCACGAGCAGATGTCAGGATAAATCACATTTGCGGCTCTTATCAACAGATTACCACGGCAACCGCACAACTCATTTCAACTGTGGCACAAATAGGGGGCGGGGGACGCCAAAATAAAGCTGCTTTGGGAGTGTGATCATTGGGTCTGCTTTTAAACATTCTACAGCACGGGAGCCTCGAAAACTTGCCAACAAAGATCCAGTCAACCAACCTGCGAATTGTTTTGACACATCGATGTTTTGGTGGAACAGGATAATACGATAAACGTAATGTTTGGGATGATAGCACCAAACCCAACAACCTTTCTGGGAGTCTGCTTGAAAATCCTGCGGCTCTGTTATCAGGCTTTGTCGGGTTATGGCGGCTACAGATGTAAAACAGGTGCTGGGTCGCTTTTCAGCTCCTTTTAAGGCCACTGAACACAGATCAAGCTTTATTAAGATCTGCCTGAAACCCCCCTGGGGGCTGCCAAATATGGCAATTACACACCGCCTCTTTAGAACTCCGACCCTATGGAAGAATTTCCTGCACTTGAAAGAAACAGTCGAGCCTGAAAAGAAGTAGCGGTAGCTGTCAAGTGTATGGAAGACTTCAGTTCAACTAAGTCAGGGGAAGAGTGTATTTTCGTTGCGTGCGCTGCCATTTTGTGGTTGGTTTTCACCATTTTCACAAATGAAATTCACAACGCTGCAAAGTAGACACAAACTTGCTTACTGCTTCTTGAAAAGATATTATCACACACCACAGAAAATTACAGCCACACGAAACATACCACAAATGGCCATTGGAGACCTTTTTTTTGACCAATGCTTAGAAAAATTAATGATAAATGTGTCTTTAAAATAGTTTAGCCTAAATCGACAGCACCTCTGATGGGTGCAGTGAAGCAGTAAACCCCATTTTGGCTCAATAGCTTAAAAAAAATCAATAATAAACTCAACAAAATCAGCACAATTTTTGACAGTTCATTGCGTAAGTAATCAACTTTGCAAAAAAATAAAATAAATAATAATTCATTGTGTGTGTCAGTTTATATGCAAGTTTACGTGCAGTAGTGTGGCGAATGTCTGCCATTGGCCGAAAACCTAAACAAAAGATGAAATAAATAAAAGAATAAAAGAACATCAAAAGAGGAAGAAGGTAAAAAAAAAAAAATCCAGACTATTTTTTAAGGATTCAGTCTAACTTGATATTAAAACTCTCTTTTCACAACTACCAAGTAAACTACTGTAAAGTTGATGAAACGACACAATATATATTTTTTATTTATTATCATTGCAGCCAGACTCAAAGGTTAAAAAAAAAAGAAAAAGTGATTAAGACTGCATGAAGAAACGTAACCAAGCCTGCCTTTAAAACGGTGTCTCCAATCCATAAATGATAAATCCTGCAGGACACTTTTACAGGCTGAGCCAAAGGCAAGTCTCAAGCGTCAACCAAATCAGGCTGTGAACAGAACGCTGATTTTTTTTTTTTTTTTTTTTTTTTTTAAATATGGTGGCCTCACAGTACTGTTCATGACAGAAACGGACCATCACGTTTATGATCTGAACGTGTGAATACGATGCACTTGCATTATTCTGAACATTTCTGTTACATGAGCACCCGAGCATCAACTGAGCTGCTCGCTGTGGCAGGCCATGTGCAGAATGTCCAGGTCTGAGGCATATCGAACGTTTTCTTCTGTGGTTTCAAGAGGCTCGAACTCCCTTTTTTTTTTTCTTGCACACTGCGATCCCGGGGGCTGTCGGCTCACTACGGTTACCAAATAAGGGCAGTGGGAGAGGAATGCTGCTTTCAACGGGAGAGCATCTTTCCTTCCATTCGTTGTGAAAAAGACTCCGGTTTTGAAAGAGGTCATTGCTTCAGTTCGCGTACTGCTATCGACCGGCTGAAACATAACAGGTGATGTCATCGACCTTTAATCTGTAAAATGATACAGATGTTCAAACCACTGACAAGGGAAACAAGGCACTCCTCCGACCTGGCTTTGGGTAAAACAAGCTATGACAAACGAGCCTTGGTGGAGTAAATTCCTTTATGAAACCAGATTAAAAGAACATGAACAGAACTCAACGACTCTGATCTTTCTGCTGTCCACTAAATAAAAATCATGGTCCCCGGGTCCCGTTATAGTGGTGAGTTGCGGTCTGCTGCAAGAATCGAGATGCGACATTTGACTGATTCAGAGAGGGCGAAAGGTCAACTTCAAGCTGGTGCTCCACAAAACCAAGTTACGGTATCGTTTTGGAGTGATCCCTACTACGAGATTTGGACGCTATGAAACATCTATTGAATGATATATCGGCACGTCTTTATATCGTGGATTATTTATTTATTTATTTTTAAGTTTATGGGCAATTTGTACAAACAGAACATTAATATCAAAATATATCGAGAGACTTGCACCAAATTTACTCGAGCAGAAAGACAATTTCCATCTGTAGTCCATCTATCATTAGATTTCCTTTTTTTTTTGGCTACTGGGGGCATGCTGTTTCTTTTCCTCCGCTAAGTAAGATGCTTGCATCGATCGGGATTTCTTTTGTCATTTACAGCGGGGGTGCCCAACCGCGATTGCTAGTGTACACTGCACCCTAAGAATCCTGTCAGTTTCACTTGTACAAAGTCGTATTTAAAAAGTAAAATTACATTAAAAAAAAAATTTTTTTTTTTTAAATTCTCAATCAGTTCGTTTCATCTGCAACTCACCGATGGCACTGGCAAAGAATGAAAATATGGAGTGCCAGGAGAAGCATTTCAGTAAAACATTTTAAAATGAAAATAAAAGTCGAGAACAACAGGCTGAATAAGTGTACGATACGCCAATTTTACATGACGCATAAACAACGAATGGAGAACGTGCCTGGGATGTTCACATCACATATTAAGAGTTATTCAGATAACTATAGCACATAAAGAACATGCTAACAAGTTTCCCAAACCATCAGTGTGTCACTCCAAATCACTAAATCCAATGAAATCTTCATCCTCCGTGTCAGTTTTCAACAACTCCGGAGGGAGAAGATACGGCGCTTCCTCTTCTACGTCGCTTACGTCAAGACTCATCGTCAACACAGGCCTAGAGCGCCCTCTTGCGGTCCAATGTGAAAATAACTGCGACTTATAGTCCGGAAAATACGGTAAGCCTTTGCAATTTTCCTCACAGGATGGCTAAAGCATCTCTAGCGATCCTTCCATCCACCCCACTACTATCATTTTTGCTCTGCAGAACATCGATGAAAGTTGATGAAGAGCAATAAATGATATAATCCAAAAAAAAAAACTGTGTGGATGGGTGTGGTGTAAGAAATCTCAACTGGTCCCACTGGAGGACTGAGTCATTGGGTAAACACGGATGAGCCTGATGACAAATAGACCATTAAATGTGCCGTTATATGCGCTCTGAGGATTTGGAGAGTTCCTATCTTAGGGGTCCAGAGCACGAAGCAGCCATTTTCCTGACCCAGTTTTCCTGCTTTGTGGAATAGATGAAAAGACTCGAGGACAATGAGGCTTGCTCGTTTTGGAATCATTGTTACAATGAGAGGAAAACACAATTGCACACCGGCCTGGGTGTCACTGGAAACAGAGTGGAAACATGCATGCGTTATTGTCGTCGCTGGCACACAAATGTGACTTCATAACATCTACATTTTCTAGTCTGACCATGAAGAAACTATGCGTTCATTTGAACCCTTTCATGCACAAATAATGGATAACCTGTAACCTGATAAGCTGTCCACTGTAGTAACCGCTGTCCCTGAAAGGGTTAAACATAGACACGTTCATAAACTAACACCCGATAATGGTTTAGCACGGCCCATTAGTACAAGAAAGTCCATATATTTAAAATTAATTCATTTTACGCAAACTGTGAGCTCCCAGTGTTTCCACTCAATCCTGACCAGCCAGTTTGTGGCGCACAACACATGTCAGGACTACTTTTTCCACACTACCACAAACGTGCTTATCTGGGTTCTATCGACATGGGTGTTTTAGTACTTACTGATTCATCCAGGGCAAAGCGCAGACAACCATGTTCGTACAGAACAAAAAATCGCCGTTGCCATTTCTGTTGGGGGGGGAAAAATGAGAATATTATTGAAATGACGACATACATAATAATGGCTTTGGATCAGCAGTAGATTTTAACTTGACAAGGCCAAGCCCGAATAACTTGTTGCTCGTGATTGTGATTATAGTTTATCTTATCCAACAAAATAATTTGTTCAACAGTTTTTTTTGGCCTGAAAAACACTAATACTGTTACAGTGAATGTGTTGGACCACCGAAGTTCCCTAATGCTGGTTCGACTGGGCCAAGTACACATTTTTTAAATGAATACAATGAAATCAACATGTTCTCGCTTTTTTCATATTACTTAATAGTCTGACTTTTTTCCACTTAAATTGATAAATGATCATTGTGATCTTTTTACTGTGCTGCACACGCACCCAAAAATGTCAAATGTTAAATATTGGATTCGATTTTACACTGGGGGAAAAAAAAAACCTGAAAAAAAGCAACAAAAAAAAAAAGTGCAAACTACACAGAAGTAGTATTTTCTTAAAGGCTTAAATCCAGTTATAAAGATGCTGCACATGAAATAATCATTGAAGCTTATCGTATTACATCAAGAATACACAAGGACAGTGCCGGTTCTGGCAGGCCCACCACAACATGACTCACGGTGGCCCGACATGGAGCTTGTGGTGTTACTCTTTCCAAATTTGCATATGTAAAAACAATTGTGAATGCATTCTCCAGCCCTCATGGTGCCCAATTTTTTGGCTTTTGATAAACGTATAGGTCGGATGAGCGCCACCAGAGCATCCATACTGCAGCCGCATCGGATACCTATCCAATTTAGCCACATAAAAAAAAAAAAAAAGTCTTATACATGGCCAAAGAGACCCTGAACCAACTACCGAGCTTGGTGGCTGTGGCATCAAGCTCAGGGGACTATTTTGCTGTGTACACAGGGCGGAATAATGAAAGTGAACAAACTCACCACAATGACCACTAATTGTCAAATGTGACTTTGTAAAAAAAATGTTTGTGCTCGTCACAATGGTTTCATCATGGTGACAGTTTCACAGTCGGAATTAATTTGTGAGGGGGGAAAAAAAAGCAAAATTGGCTTGTGATTTACCTTTGACGTTTGTGTAAAACACGGCTGAAATCGGATTTTATGTATCTTCAGATACAGTGCACGCACTTACCCGCGAACGCTGCATCGGATTGTCAAAGTCGGTTCCCTCAGGAGCCAAGCACAACCATCCACCATAAATCGGCTTAGCCTGTAAACGAGGGAAAGGGAGAGAGAAAGAGAAAAAAAAAAGAAGAGAGCCATTTAGGTAATAATTAAAACTTGGTAAGAGTGTGCAAGCTGAGGGGGATGGGAGACGGTGTAAATATGCGAGAAGCCTTTTGGGCTCCAGATGTTGCAGCTGCCCTTGAGTTGCGTTTCGAAGCCGCACAAACCAGCAGAGCTTTGAGTGTAATCAACTCTGTTTGATGAAATGTTTAGGAGCCTTTTTTTTTTTTTTTTTCCAGTTTCGCCAGGGGCAAACGAGAACCCGTGTGATGAATCGAGTTACTGGTGGCATACTTAAAATAAACAAAATACATCTCACCATATGCTCAGGATTCTACTTCTGGACTCGTTTGACCACAGATTTACTTCATGCGATAGTTCAAAAGGTGTGTGAATTCCGTTAAGGCTTGCTCAACAAGCAATTATGACGACAACACCTGCTCGATCACTCACCAAAAAAAAACATCTTAGACCGGGAGTGGGCAATTACAGTACTTGAGGGCCGGTATCCTGGATGTTTATGTCTCCCTGTTCTCTGATTCAAATGAGTTCTTCCGCAAGTTCGGCAGAAGCTGGATAACGATCCTGATCGTTTGAATCCGGGTGTGATCATAACTCAATTATAATACCGGGCGCTGTCTGCTACGTGTCAACCACATGCCTTGCCAAGAGCCTATACATATCGTGCTTGAACTTGTAAAGGTTGTGTCAAGAGTGAAATGAAATGCAAGGACCTAACCCGGGGTTCGGCAACCTGCGGCTCTGGAGCCGCATGCGGCTCTTCAGCGCCGCCCTAGTGGCTCCGTTGGAGCTTTTTCAAAAATTCTTGAAAAAGGAAAAAGATAGGGGAGGGAATTATTTGTTTTAATATGGTTTCTGTAGGAGGACTAACTTGATACAAACATTCTTAACGTTCTCCGATGCTGTAAAAATGTGTAGAATAAATATGAAATTTCAACATTTCTGTCAATGAAGATTTGCATCATAGCCAACGACACACGTTTCTATTAGCAGGGCAGGATGCCAGGCAGGTGGCTGTTATTAAAAAAAAAGTATTTTATATACAATTCACCCAGGGTACTGGCAAAGAATGGAAATCCGGAGGGCCGAGAGAAGCATTTTTAAACGGTACACGTTAGCTACGATAGTTAACACGCTGCAAAAGTGCGCCCCATGCTTCGTCCATCGTAGCGGCCGTTATGGCTGTTGCTCATTTTGGCATGCGTGTGTAAGTGCGTGCGTATGCGGTAATGGGTCGATCGCGGGAGGTTGGTTGATCGAAAAAAAAAGACAATTTAGTCATTTTGATAGTAGGCTAATATAGCAAATATAGATACACACAGCATGTGTTGGCTGCATTATAAGGCTTTTAATTTTTTTGTGGCTCCTGACATAATTGTTTTTTGGGTTTTTTTTTTTTTTTTGGTCCAATATGGCTCTTTCAACATTTTGGGTTGCCGACCCCTGACCTAACCTGACCTGACGGCATTATGTAGCGAATTTGTGTTGTAAAATGCATCCCATACAAATCATTCATTATCACTCGGTGGTTTACAATTGGCCACGGTGGTTCAAGGGTGGGGATGTCAGCAGTGGGCCAATTTTTAGCAGAAACGATGACGACAAAAAGTTCCCAAACAATAGCTAGCGTTCAAGTCATAAAATGTCTGGAAACAGCCAACAAACAATGCATAATAAAACAAGAACCACGCTATATGAATGCGTCAAACAACCAACTGTGATAACTTTCGAGATATCTTTTTGTGGTCTGCGGAGAGGAAAAGTTTAAGCTGCAGTACATCTGACAATATACAGTCTCAACATTACATACAAAAACGGCCTACATTATGATACAAGCATAGTCTGCTCGATATCTTTCATCAGTTATCCAGCTCTGGCGGCAGAGCTGCGGTTGACACATTAACCAAGCCATAGCTTGTTCATTTGATGACATACTGCAGACCCGGGGCATCCCAAAAATTCTCTCCAGTGATTATATGTTTGGCAGTTTCAACCATCCACGGGACACCCAGGAAAGTTTAAAGTAGAAGCTGATAATAAGACGCTGTTAACATAACATCGTGCTGCGTATGATGAAAGAGGCTGGAAGAGTTCAGTTTGATGCAAGGAATTACAGGGTACACAGAATTTTAATTCAATTTAAAAAAATAGGACAAATAGAGTTCCCTCCCTTTATTTTTATAGGCTTTTTGGATTATGTCATAAGGTTTGAGAGACTCAAAACTCGCAGAAAAAAATATTTTGTGCAACCTTGAACCCCTGAGAGCACATAACTCTAATTCAACCCCATTTTCATGAATGCCGTATCGAGAGTAGCACAAAAACTCATTCAAACAGCCTGGCAACTGGTAACCCCAAGACAAAGTTTACTTAGTTGGGCAAACCAACAGCTGCATCATAATTATCACTGTGTTTGATTAAATCATCAAGCATAAACTGAGCAGTATGCCAGTGGGTGCTAAATACACATTTGAAGAAGACCTCGCAGAAAGTTACACATTTCTGCACAGTCTCCAACCCTGACTCACCTTGAGACGACAATATGAACATAATTCTAGTACTTTAGACTAAAATTTGCTTTATTTTATCATCACAGAAGTCGTACGGGCTTTCCTTAACCACAGGGCACCACACTACAGGCATGCAATAGCGAAGCAGCGATCTCGCTCTCTCTTACACACTCGCGTGTCTAAGCTTGTTTATCCTCAATGAACCAAAGGGTAACTTGTAGGTAGCATGGAAGTAACCTGGAATCACAGACACCACATGAAACAGTGGCAGAAATAGCGACACGACTTTGTCTTCTATATTATCGTGAAGCCCGCTCCATCGCGGCTCATCTTTCGTACTCCTGCTAGTATACATTGTAGTAGTTTAAGCAATCATTTTTTTTGTTTTTGTTTATTTTTCACAGTGCACAACCAAGTGAATTAAAATGAAAATCAAATAAAATGCACCTTTTGTGGAGTAACACTTTGTTCCACACCAAGTCGGGGAGCACTAAGCTTGACTGGATGTAGACAAAGCATAACTCTGATTCAGAGATGGTTTACTCGGCTACAGTTCTAACAAAAATATGCCTGTGTGTAATGTTGTACTGCATGGTTTTGTTGGACATGTTCAAAACCCAGTTAAAAAAAAGTCTCAAAAATTTGAGAAACCACAGAGAAAAATGTTTTTAACAAGCCAATTTGATTGAGAAAAAAAAAAACATTGCCAAGTACCGTATTTTACGGACAGAAGTATAAATCGCACCAGTCCAAAAATGCCTCATTAGGAAGAGAAAAAAAAAAAACATACACTAAGGTATAAGTTGCTCTGGGTATAAATCGCATTTTGAGGGGGAAATTTATTTTACAAAAACTGAGACCGAAAACAGTACAGCTCAGATTGCACCAAAAATCCCTGTTCCCTAATCGTGGGTGCGTTCGGAAAAATGCTCAGAGCATGCACTGCTTCACCCGTGTTCAGTTATTCAAAGCCCGGTGCGTCAGGCAGTACAGATGAAAAGAGTTCAAGCATGAGCTGCTGATTGCTTTATAACATAGGCTGCGTTCGGAAATTAATGGGAGTGGAGCGCGCCCTGCCTCTCTGAACACACACACACACACACACACACACACACACACACACACACACACACACACACACACACTCAAAGTGGTGTTCGGGCATTTCTGAACGCAACCAGTGTTGACAGCATATAACAGTTTTTTTTTTCTTTTTAGTTTAAAATGGCTTCCCTAAACCAGAAATCCGCATCACATTTTGACCAAAGGTAGAATCCTGATTATTGCGACTTTTTGACTTTATAAATTGTCACTTTATGTCAAATGTTACATTTTTGTTGAATGTTTGTGTTACACGATACGTTTAATTCGCTTTTGTTTTTATAGGTTAGGACTATAAACGTGTAGATGTGACAAAATTATTAGTCCATGTTGTGTGTTTTTTTTTGGGGGGGGGCACTAAATGCCATGTATGCAAGAAAAACAAATGGCATCAATATCGAAACCTTATCCTGCCTAAGGAGCATGGTGGAGCATCATGGTATGGGAGTGTTTTGCTCATTCAGGGCCTGGACAACTTGCTATCAGTAATCCATCCATTTTCCGATCCGCTTTATCCTCACAAGGGTCGTGGGGGTGCTGCAGCCTATCCCAGCTGTCTTCGGTCAATAGGCGGGGAACACCCTGAACCGGTTGCCAGCCAATCAGAGACGAGCAACCATCCGCGCTCACACATAGGGACAATTTAGTATGTTCAATCAGCCTGCCTTGGAAAAAATAATTCACAGAATTATGAATATATTCTGCACAGTACACAGTCCACTGATTAATATTAGTTTTGTGAAATATTAATTAAAAATGAATCCACCAGTTTTCAGCCACTCACGGAAGAGGGTGACATTTTTTTTTTTTTAAATGACGGCAAAGTGCCGCTGGGCTTGCATTGCGCACATCACAGCACACCTGTTTTCTGCGTTTGGTCACATGACGCTCGCAATGTGAGCCCAAGGGCACTGTGACATCAATTTTAGTCGACAGCGGGATGGAGAGGGCCGGGGGGGGGGGGGGGGGGGGGGGGGGCTCCTTGCATGACTGAAAACTGGTGGATTAATCTGCTTTATTATTATTCCACAAAGGCAAGATTAATCAGAATTCTTTTTCTAGACACGTGGGGGCACATAATGGATATGAATTGTTTTTAATTTTACTTCCAGTTTAAGCAAAGGAATCACGTTTAGTACAAAGTCCCATTTGTATTATACATTTAAAAAAAACAAATACCACCAAATTAGTGAACTGATTACCTCTCAAATTATTGTGAGCATCTTTATGGCTGCTGCAATGATAGCAGAATGTATCTCCACCACACCTGTGGCGTGGAATCTTCTTTATTCCTCACGATTATCACAATGATTGTCGATTGATACCGTGATAAAACCAAACCGTGAGGTTTAGATGTTGTGACATTCCTAAAGATGAGTGACTTTAATGATAGACTTATGCCATGAAAGAGGGAGACCAGGAAACGGCAGAAAAAAAAAAGGCCAAGTGGACTGATGATGGACTCACAAAATCAATGATAAGAGCAACTATATACTGTAGTTCTCTTTCGATGGAATATCTACTTCATTAATGAAATTGAGACTAGTATTTTCATTCTTTTGCATACTCATTATCCTGTTCGGTGTCACAGTGTAGCCACAGCCTATCCAAGCCAATTTTGGGTGGTAAACATCCAACTACCAGTCAAATTACAGGGTTCAGAGACACATGCAACCATTCCAACTCACGCTAATGGACAACTTCAATCACAATAAAGGAAGACGTACTTGAAAGGAGCCCACACAAACATGAAGATCAGTCACTTCAGAATAATCGGAATGATCAGCATCCCAACAACAACAACAAAAAAAAGCATTGAAACATTTGGTCCAGATTACATTTATATGCTCGATTATTTTACAACCTAAATTGAAAAGCAGCCACTAAGACCTCTCCTCCCATTTCCCAAACCCACATACTTCCTTTCTCTCCACGTGACTCCGTCTCCCACTCATCGAATCCCATCGCATCCCTGCAGGCCCTCTACCCACCTCTCCCACACACATGTCAACTTGAGCCAGACAGCATTCTCCATCACTGTCCAGCCTCCCATCTCCTTCGCCCTGGCTGTGTGATCGATCCCACAAAGCTCAACCGAAAGCAAAGGGCTGCCAAGTTAGGAAAAAAAAAAAAAAGTAACCAAGTGAAAAGGGAAACAGAAAGGTGGAATTTGCGGAGGTATTATAACTCATTTTGAAACACTCAGACTGTAATAAAAGCACTTCTCCAGAGTCCAACCCCCGACAGTCGATCTTTTTTTCGAGCATTCCTGCACACATCATTTATATCGGGTACTATCTTTTCATTCAGTGCTCATCTTTTTATATGGCTTTTCCATGTGCGCTCTCTCTATCAAAGGGGATTTCTTACAGAGCCTTTCCATCACAATCCAATTTTTTTTTCCACAGTTTTATCCGTCTGTGACACGGTTTTAAATGTACATCTATATGGTTTGTCGTTTGCATGCAATTGCGTTTCAAAAGACAAAAGCTCTCCAGGGGAGACCGGGCTGGTTGGCGGAATTGTGACCGGCCACAGTTGCATCATGACGCAAGCACGGATGGGTGACGGCTCAGTCCCCCGTAAGGAAAAAATTCCCACTTTGATGGTGACGCCCGGCACTTACATTTTTTTTTAAGGCCCTCAAGCAAACCTTTCAAAACCATACAAACACATTTAAACATGTAAAATAGATTTGAGATCCCTCAAGATCAATGAATAACACAAAAATATTGTTGTACCAATGTAACGTCTGTGTACGCACTCACGACAACGATGATGATGAAGCTGCCGTGATACAGTATATTCCGATTTCAACACGGAAATACAGGTGTATTCTCGAACGAACTTGTCATATGCTGAAACTGGCCTGGTCATGAGCATATCGTACAAGCGCACGTTAGCGAGCCTTTCTACAGTACAATGGTGACTTTTTGTGGTTTGTTTTTGCAGTGCCCCGAGACTGATAGAAATGGATTAATATGGTTAATCCTTATTCCACAGACACAATATTAATCAGGATACCGTGTTTACACAAGTAGGGGCGCATAGAACATATTAGTGGAAAGAAAATCTTTGCCTTGAGTTGACCTCCCCTCCCCACCCAAAAATAAATTGAAAAAATAGAAAGGCATCTTGGTTTCCAATCAGTAAGACTCTAAATGGTCTAAAAGTATAGTGACAAGACATTTAACACATTCTCTGAATATTTTCAAACGATTTTACAAAAGGATCCAACTGGAACGCAAAGTCATCAGCCTTTTTAAAAATATGCACGTTACCAAACATATTTCAACAGAGATTCTAACAATGGAGTACCGCATCATATGTGAAACGCTAACCACCAATAAAGTGTTTGCTCCTGAGCATTTGGACGAGGAGAGAAGAGGATGCTGACGTTGCCTTTGCTTTTTGGCACTTAAAGCGTCGTCATGGGCCCATCCTGTATGGCCTCATCATCTGGGATCAATTACAGGACACACCAGAGACTAAACTAATGATCAGAGAGCGAAAGAGCAGCTCAAAACATGCCTTGACTGCTGAAGATACTGCCCCAACTTCAAATCTTTACTGATCCTTCAACCAAGTCTTACTTCAGCAAACAATTGATCATCTTTTTGTCACGGCAATCACGAGTACTACATCCCCTGGGAACCACACCAAAGGCAAACAGATTACAACAAAGACAAACAAAAATCTGGATATGTCAGGTGAAATTTGAAATGATATACAGTTGATTCTGCACATTATCCATTGGTTAGTTGATTTGGCAAATCTCCCATTGCAGAAAGTGCATTTTGGCTTCATGTCTATTTCTGTCATAAACACTGTTAGACATGAACACATTGTCAATAAAACGGGGTGAGGACGAAGTATAAACAATACATTTAATTGGTTCAACAATGTTGGTAATATACAAATAGTAATTTGCCATTATTGGTTAGAAAAGCAGCCAAAGCCACTACCTGGCACTTTATTTTCATTGAGCACAACATATTATTAAAGTATTAACATTTATGTGAAACTAGAAAGGCGGAGAAAAAAAATATTTGCATTTCCGTACCTGTGTTAAATCCTGATCCGTCAACAGATGCAACTCCCGTGGTTTGAAGCAGTTCTGACATTTGCTTTTGTTGAAAAAGTTCGCCTGGAATTTCCGACAGGAATTTTCCTTCGCGGTAGACATCGTCTTTCACCTTGGTGACTGACGTTCTGCCCGATGTTCTCTGGGTGACTTTAATCAGCAGTGGAATTGTAATCCTGCTGTTTACTTGCCTCTACTGCAACTTTGAAAACGACCCGGCGCTCCCATGCATTTTCCTAAAACAATGACCAAAACCGGCTTCTAATTCTTTTAGAACTTATTCTTATACCGTTCCCTGTCTGGTTGTTTTTGTCCAATTCCTTTTCGCCCAGAAATAATTAGCTGCCATCAAGCCACCCTGCTCATCACTCAATCAGTGATGAATGCTTCTCAGTCAATGGCTCACAACCACAAAAGCGAACGAGAGGAGGCTAATGTCCTGTTAGCTCGCCACTAGGTCTCCAAATCAATAACGTGATGGCGTAAGCCACAAAAATAAAGTTAGCACACTTGTATGGGCATCAAACTTCGAAATGGTACTGTCCAACAGGCGACACCTAACTTCCATGTGAAGAAGTGAAATAAAAAAAAAAAGAAAAAAAAGAAAAAAGGCCTTGCGGTCAGACAGCAGGTTATTATCCCAGTTGCAGGCGTTGGTCCATGCGAAGTTCACCCAGGCTAACTATTAGCCAGCCTGCTCGCTCGCAGAGACGCTAATGCTGTCCTGTCCCGGTCGGCGTCTTCACTTATCTTAATAGAAAATGAAAAATGACTTTCACAAAACACCAAATGACTCCAGTTGCCTTTTCTCTCCAAGATAAAAAGTCGGCATGCAAAGAGAATACAGCGGAGCCCGTCAATGGCCGTAAAACAAATGTTTTAAGGATTGCTTCCACAACGAGCTTGGCTAGCTGCAGTAGGTTTACAGTATTTTCTTCTTTCCCAAACGCAGCGAGGGGGTTGATGAGGAGCGAGTTGGCTCAAGAGCCTGGAATGCTCGGAAATCTCGCGAGATCTGCTCAATGTCGCCATCCGGAGACAGAACATAGTAGAGTGAGCGTGATAAAATCTAATAGTTTATTCTATTCTATTCTATTTAAATCACGAATCTGTAACTCTTTTTCTGTCCAGGGCAAGGATGGGAAATTCAAATGTTGGAGGGGGTCACAACTTTTGATCGTCGAAACAGATGTATGACAAAAATGCAATTTTAAATACTGTACACTATGGACAAAATATGTGCACCAGAAACGGCTCCAATGATTTTTTTTCTCTCCTGGTGGGAAAGGGTGGCTGAGAAAAGAATTTACAAATACATGATAGAATATTAAATAAAATGCTGGAGGGGCTTAACCGGGTGTATTTGTGCAAAATACGTGCTCTTAACATCATTCATTTTTGATTGTACATTTTCAATGCATGTATAAACAATTTGCTAAGCTAACCCAACAACAAAAGTTTGAAGCAAACAAAAAAAAACCCAACAATTCCAGTGCAAAGGGTATAAAAATTAACAGTCAAGGATCTCACAAAATTGCTAAACAAGAAACTAACATTAAGTGCAAGAACTAATTGTGGACATATTTTCACAAAAATCAACTCACTCAAAATGTTAATATAATTGAGATACTATGTTTGTCCTGCCTATTGTTCCAAATCAGCAAAGAAATGATTTGGCCTACTCACGTTGCAGTGCAGGGCAATATAATGCTGCATAAGAGGAAGGTAGGAAGTTGGACTTAGCCTTCTCGGATTCCAATAAATTGTTAGCTGTTTTCCCGAGCATTTAATAAAAAATAATTTACTTTATTTCTATAAATAAAGTAATATCTCATCTTCAAAGTGTTTCATACAGTTCACCACATGACTTCATGCAGGGAAATAATGGCATATCTTCACGCAGCCAGTTCAAATCACATTGTGTGAAGTTCCTTTGGAATCACAGTTTAATGTAATAAATAAATAAAGAGAGAAAAATATATGTTTGTAATCTTGTCATTTAAGTTTTGTGTCTCCATGGGGTTCACCATTGTCGAGTGAAGTCAGGTTGAAGATGGACAGTGTAGTCTGGGTCTTTCTTCACAACTCGGACCTCTCAGAATTAAATTAATAGCAATAAACCGTTTAATGTATGATGACTTCAAATATGTCTCTAAACATTCAAAGTCTGTTAGAAAAATTCCAGAACTGGTTTCACAAATGGTATCTAAATACAAACTAAAAGTTTTGTCCTCTCAAAGTAATCTTCTCTGGAGTATAACACACTTCCCCAGCCAAGGGAACATACCTCAGATAGCTACTGTGCACCATATGTGAGCATTCATGGCTGACTCCAGCCGTGGCTATTATAAGCAACAGGCTCTACTGGACACCAGTGGGTCAGAAAGACAAGCAAGGGTGGAGTGAATGGATGGTGGATGTCGAGGGAGGAGAAGGGCTGCTGTTACCTAACGAAAGTTGGAAAAAAACTGCAGCCAGTCCTACTGAGGCATTATCTCTGCACCAAGAATAACAAGGATTACAGGTGCTTGTGGGTGTGTGTGTGTTTGTGTGTGTGCGTCGTGTTTGTAGTGCTTACAAAATGTTCTAACCCATCAGGGCTGTGTGTGTGTGGGTGTGTGTGTGTTTGTGTGTGTGCGTCGTGGTTGTAGTGCTTACAAAATGTTCTAACCCATCAGGGATCCAATCATGTGGCAGTCAAATTGTGTATGGTCAGAGTTAATTATCAATATTACATTAGTATGTGTATTGAAAAAAATATAAATATTTATTAAGTAAATTAAGAAAACAGCATTAATCCAGTGTTTGCAAGTGTGATCTTGAGATATCCAATAACAGTATTTAAGAGGTGGCACAGGGCAAGGAATTCTGGGGCAGGAGCTTGTCCAGAATATATTTAGCTGTTCTCCTGAAACACACTTTAAAGTGTGCAGGGCATTGCTTCTAAATGGCTCATGTAAAAAACAAAAAAAAGAAACATTTTGTTAGACACACAAAAAAAAAAGTTTATTTTAGTCGACTCAGTTGACTTCGTCAACGATTATACAAAAAAAAAAACATGACCAAATTGACCCTGAGTTGACTAAAATAAACAGTTTTTTGTTGTATTATATATATGTATTTGGTCAGTCAGTGTTCATTGGAAAAAAAAAACAGAATTGCTTTAAGGAGTGGTGTACAGCCTTTTCTAACATTTAAAAGTGTGCAATGTCCAAAACATACTCTGTGTATGGCCACATTACTTGATGTGTTTTGTTCTTCATAAATTCAAAAGCACTGGTTCTTAACCTGGGTTCGATCGAACCCCAGGGGTTCGGTGAATCGGTCTCAGGGGTTCAACGGAGCCTCTGCCATGGAGGGTTAGACACATCCAACTCAAGATGTCAATTAGTTATGACACGCCCGCTTGGTCATCACTGGCTGCAGATGATCACATTACATTGCTTGTCCAATCGGTGCCGTGGGAAATTTAGTTCGCTCAGTAGTCAATGTGTGACTGTCGTGATAGTACGTAGTGTTATTTTTTTTTAGAATGTTTTAATACATGCTATGCTAAGCAAAAAAAAACAAAAAAAACGAAGTGGTCGGACGAATATGTACCACATGGATTCACATGGATCACGGAACATGATGGGACTCAGCATCCTATCTGGATGATTTGTCATGCCAAGTTGAGCAACTCTCGTCTTGTACCGGCAAAACTGAAGGAACACTTCTTGAATCAGATTTTTGTTGTTCACTAACGAAGGGTTCGATGAATGTGCATATGAACTGGTTGGGTTCGGTACCGCTAATAAGGTTAAGAACCACTGCTCTAGGTTGTTATTGTTTTGGTCTCACAATGTTACCTCCTCCTTCTTCTACAGAAAATGGTCTTCCCTTCAGTGATGGCATTGCCCCTGCTGATTGTCCTGGCGGCAGGACTATACTACATCTACAATGAGGTCATGCAGTACATGTCCAAGTCTTTAGTGCGGAACAAAGTGGTGGTGATCACTGACGCCGTGTCTGGTGTTGGAAATGGTAGATGATCTCAGTTACCTGACGAATAAATTTGTTATTAGTTTAAGGAATCACACATTTTTTAAGACAATTGAAATGCACAAGGTCAATAAATATATTTGAACTGCCTGTTAGCTTTGGCTACTTGACTCTCACCATCTCATTCCCATTGTTCTCCTTAGTAACTAATGTCTGTTGTCTCTCAGAGTGCGCTCATCTCTTCCATAAGGGCGGAGCCAGGCTCATCCTGTGTGGAGATAATTGGGATAAGCTCGAGTCTTTGTACGACTCTTTGATAAATGAAGCTGACCCCAGCGAGGTGAGGCAAACGCAATACTTTACTGCACAGATTTGATTATATTTAATCTGTTGGCCAACTTCCTAGTTGAAAAAAATAAATGGCATCTGAAGTTGGAAATTTGGGGAAGAAAATTACTTTCATCGAAATGGCCCAAATGAACATTACACAACATTAACATTAGGTTAAACAGGTTGTATCCTTGTTTTCATCATTATCCTCCATTCGGTCCCCTTCCGCCCCCCCATCACCACTTCCTACTCTGAAAAACACAATGGCAGGACATCCTCTGTGACAGCAAGCTGTCCTCTATCTTTTACACGGGACTACACGTGGCACAAAAGATGTTAGTAAGTGAGACTTTTCACAGACAGGGGTCACAAAATGTTGGATGGACCGAAATGGACAATAGTACAAGATTAAAAAAAAAAAACAATTGAGAATGTATCAACAAATAAAATAAATATTTAAAATATTAGTCATGATTACACATTGAATACTTCGACCATATTTCAACAAAGTCTTCAGATTCATTTGGAAACTTTCACCTAACTCCTGTCTTTGTTGTATGACTCATTTTTACTCCATGTAAAGCACTTTATATAAACAAACGGCATTCTTAGAGGCTTCCACCCACCAAGTAGCTGGGAATTGGAGCTGTTAACTAAATTTTTATCACAGTATTAACTCCTCAAATATTTTTTTTCTCTGTTATTTTATCCTTTATTAAAAGTGATGGACTTGGCTGACTTTGTAACAACACAATGACCACTTTCATTGGCACCGTTTTGCATGCACTGTAACAGAGTGTATGTTTTCTTTTTTTGTGATTCATGCTTTGGGGCTGTCCAAGAACGTGGTGTTTTTTGTGTAATAATATGAGAACCACTTTTTTTTTTTTCGACTGAATGAGAAGTACTGAGAAACGCTGGCAGCAAGCACACTAAATCAGATCCAGTATATTAAGCAACAAAATTATGTTTCTTCACAGACCTTTGCCCCCAAACTGGTCATCCTGGACTTTAGTGACATGGAGAGCATGGAGGATGTGACGACTGAAATGGTGGACTCTTACGGATGCGTGGACGTGTTGATTTGTAACAGCAGCATGAAGCTCAAAGCTCCAGTGCAGAGCATTTCCCTAGAACTTGATAGAAACATCATGGACATCAACTACTTTGGCCCAACCACCTTGACCAAAGGTGGGGTGCATGTTCCTAGTGTATTATGTTCACGGCGGTTGTTTTCATCTTTCACATCTCATTCTAATTAATAATGTGGCAGGAATACTTCCCACCATGATTCCAAGAAGATCAGGACATATTATCTTGGTCAACAGCATCCAAGGCAGATTGGCTGTCCCATTCAGAAGTTCCTGTGAGTTATAAATTACAACAACAGAATATGGGAATAATTGCAATTTATGTGACATGTATGCATTGCATGTGAAACTGGTACCGCGGGCTTCAATAGGGACTTACCCGACTTCATCGATTCTTTATAATTAAACAAAAATAAAGCTAAAACATGCAACTGAATAGCGCCATATTGAAAGATGCTTTTTTTCTCGCCCCCTCATCATAGTTTTACTTTTGTATCTAATGTGAATACATTTGAACACCCCCCCCCACGTTACATAGGTTTAACACGTTTTTGAAACAGTCAATCAAGTATCTTGAGGCGAGTCAAAAAAAGAGGAAA